TATAAACACCATTTTTAAAAGCACTTTCTTGGGAAACAACTGTTATGGTATCTCAAGATTGCAAGCAACAGAAATATCTTTGCATCGAATCAAAATGAATGTAATTCGAATAACTGTAGTTCTACCTGTCTAGGAGGTACAGTTATTTCCAGTATGCACATTTCTAATGTTTTACCCGTAAAGAACTCAAGAAAAACTTCCAACATCAGAAATCAAGGGTTCAAGCTGCGGAGAGATGTTGGTCAGACTGTGTCCCTGTACAGAACTGCTTGCTTCCGAGGTCGCAGACCTGCTTACAAGTACTTCCCGAGGCGAGCCCAGTCCTGCAGTCCTTAGTCAGCCCCGTTCTGGGGTTCTTCCTATTGACAAAATGGTGATTTATGTACACATATTTGTACGTCCGTATCTGTTCACAAAATATGCCGTTACTTGTATGTGCAAAGCCCGGAGCTGCAGCGAGATATCTGTTTATCTGTATGTGCAAATAGCTGAGGTGTCGTTTGCCCTGCCTGGGCGCCAATATGCCTTTACAGGGGGTCCAGATTTTTCATGAACAACCATAACAACCTGGCAGCATCATCGTGCACATACCAGTATGCCCATTGCTCATAAAAAGTCAGCATTCAAAGAAGACTGAATCATAAATGCTACCGAACTAGCAAATAATTATCAACACTAAAAGTAGATGAAGAAATAACAGAACTTTAAAGGTGAGATAACTGCATCATGAGTTTGATTTAAACACCAGTTTGCAATGGCAAGTCAGCAAAGGGATAGATCTAAGGCTAGAGATTTGGACCGAGCATCAGATAAAAGAAGATTCTATTCTTTCCGATTTTTATTTCCTATTCTTAAACAGAGGGTAACAAAGAAAATTGTTTGAACGTGGGAGTCTACGTCATTAAAACAGACGCGCTTTGATGGCTTTTTTCCTTTAGGGGATTTACTTTGTTTTACTTTATCCGACACAAGTCAGAAAGAAGTGAGAATATTATAAGCTTAAGGAGAAGAGAAGCTGAATTTTGATACGTTATTTTCCATTAAGATTAAAATTTTTCCACTTACTTTGTTAAGTTTTTTCTACGATCAGAAAATGCGGCTCTCCCTAAAATGAATTTGAGAGACTGGCAGATTTTCCTCACCTACTTGCAGCACTATAGTGTCCTACTGTGTTAGAGAGGAGGATTTTTTCAAACTGCTCCCCAATCTTTTGCATTCCTTCACAAGCTCGTATCTCCATTCTGCTTATACTCTGATAAAATATTGAGAGTCATTTCCTCACTTTTGGACTGCACATTGAGTTCGCTTCTTCTCGATGACTTCCTGGCGGCCCTGGAAAGCCGCCTTCGAAAGGTATCACCTGCCAGAAAATAAAGAATAGGGTCTACGCAGCTGTTGAGGCTGGCTAGACCTCTCGTCACCTGGTAGGTGGCATAAACCTTATCGTTGAAGGCACACATCTGTGGAGTCTGAAAATCCACTCTGGCTCTTAGATTCAAGGTCTTCATCACGTGGAAGGGAAGGTAAGACACAGCAAAGACTGTCAACACAATAATAACCAGGTAAATCGACTTTCTCCTGAGAGGAGAATTGTCCAAATCTTTGTAAATCAAAGCTTTCACTATTAGCCCATAACAACCAAGAATCAGTATGAAGGGGATGCAAAACATAAACACCGTGGTGCACATGCTGTAAACGAAGTAGCTTCTCAGGTACTCGTCGGTTGTGGTGTCGTAGCACGTGATGGTTTTATTTCTCCGTATCCCCGTTCCCGAGTAGAACAATATGGGAGAGATCACGGCCACAACGACGACCCACACCAGGGTGCTGATGTAAACAGCGTTCTTCTTCTTCAGCCTCCCCAGCGACTTCAAGGGATGCACCACCCCCGTGTACCTGTGCACGCTTATGCAAGCCAGAAACAAAATGCTGCCGTAAAGGTTCACGTGGAAGATGAACCTCTGCAGCTTGCACATGATGTCTCCAAAGATCCAGTCTGTTTTGTTGAAGTAATAAAAGATGAGGGCAGGCAGAGTCAAGACATATAAGAAGTCAGCTAATGCCAAGTTGAACATGTAAACTGAAATGCCGCTCCAAGGCCTCATGTGGAAGACGAACATCCAGATTGCCACACTGTTGCCCAGAAATCCCGTGATAAAGACGAGGATGTAGACGGTGGGCAGGTAGTAGAACTGGAAGCCAGTTTTAGTCAGGGAACACTTGGTGGTGGCATTTCCCGCAGCCCAGCCGCTGCTGGAGAGCAGGTTGGGTTCAGTTCCATTCAGAGCAGCCGAGAGGAGGACTTCAGTCATGATCTTTCCACCAGCGTCACTTAGGTCTGAGAGCAAAGCAGCAAAGTCTCTACAGGAACAGGAAAGCATCTAAAAAAAGAAAAACAAAAAACGAAAAGCAAAACCCCAGAAGGGCAAAGAAAGACCCGACTGGAAGGCAATGCTTCCTCGCTTTCCCGCAAAGCTTATCTTCAGCCCAAGAAGCCCGCGCCTGTGTCCAGTCTTCAAGCGCGGCTCGCTCGGCCGAGCGGCTCCTGCCGCCCCACGCGGGTGCCACCTTCCCCCGTGGGAACGC